GCTGAAGGCAGACTGATGCTGAGGCTGAAGCAGGCTGAGGCTGAGGCTGAGGCAGGCTGATGCTGAGGCAGGCTGAGGCTGAGGCTGAGGCAGGCTGAGGCTGAGGCTGCGACTGCGACTGCGTTGCCACTGCGACTGTCATCGCGAATGCGACTACGACTGCGAGAACAGCAGAATTCTACAACTGGATTCTCATCTGAATCTTAAGGGGAATGCTTCCAGATATGCTCCTACACATCGCTGTTAGGTTGCTTTGCCGGGATAATTTTTATTAATCGTCATCCCGCATTACGGCTGCGAGCCATCGAGTTCTTGGGCGTGCTGGCTCCAGCGCAAGGGACTGGCTCACGAAGGAGTGCCGCCGAGGGACCCGCAGAGCTCGATGATCCAGGGACCATCAGGAGGGGAAAAAGCACACAGACACAATTCATCGCCGATTCCCCAGAAAACATGGGAAAACATGAGAAGTGGGGGGGAAGACAAAAAGCCAGAAAGTATGGGAAAATATGGGGAATCCTTTTATTTGTGTGTATTTATTTGTGTGTCCCAGGGCCCCTTCAACCATGGTGGAGCAGAGCGGAAAACCCCGCGGCTGGGACGTACTTGCAGAACAGGCTAGCCCCAGCCCCAACTCTTGGTGATCGTTTATTGATTCGTCGTTTTGCCGATCGGCGCGGGCTCCCCCCCCCCCCCCATGGAGTGGATCTTGGCTGTTTTGGGCGCCCGTTTCGTGCAGGTGGAGCCCCTCCCCCATGGGACGCACGGTTCCGAGCAGTTGCGCTAAGCAGAGGTCCAGAGCCAGACCCCCCCCCCTCTCTCCCCCCCCCTTTCCGCCCAATGTCGAAACGCCCAACGTGGAAACGCCGAAGAAAAAGACGCCCGATGTCGACACGCCCAACGTCGGACCCCCCCCCCTCCCCCTTTCCCCCCCCCCCTCCCCCCCCTCCCCCCCTTCATGCCCAGTGCCGAGACGCCGAATCAATACCAAAAGCGCTCCCCTCCTGTGGGGCCCCGACCCCCCACGTGTGCTCGGACCCCCCCCCCCCTCGGGGGGCCTCTGCGGGGGCCGCTCGCGAGGGCCCCCCGGCGGCCCCGAGGGGGCGGGGCACCCTCGGCGGCCGAGGAGCCGGGCCCGGAGCGACGGGCCCTCGCGGGCTGTCTTGGAGCCCTCGTGGGCTGTCCCGGGGCGGTCTTTGGGGGGCCTTCGGGGCCGTCCTGTGGGTCGGGGGCGGAAAAGAGGGGGGTGATGACTAGGGGGGGTGGATATCATGGCGGGGGCCATGATATTTCCCCAGATTTCATGGCGCCGCTTCTTGTTTCATTACGTCCCTGCCCCCCCCCCGCTGGGCTGGGCCGCGCACATGCCGCCGGTCATGATTTGCACCCCCCCTCTTGGACACCCCCCTCTTGGCCGCTCCCGACCTGGGGGCGCTTCTGTGGGGCCCTGGAGCCAGTGTGAACGCTTGGAAAGATGACACGATGCCGCTGAAGGTGTACGTTCTCCAGAGGGAAGGGCCGACGCTCTCTTGGACTGCCTTGGGAGCTCTTTTCGGCCCGTGCTGGGGCGTTCGGGCTCCAGAAGAAGCGCCGGGGAGCTCGTCGATCCCCCCCGCCCGGGCCTCCCCCTCCGATGTGTTTTCCAAACCCAGAGAAGAGGGATGGGGGGAGGGGGACAACCAATTGTCTCACAGGCCTGCTCACCCCCGGGGAGCGGGGGTCGGCGGATCAGTGGTTGCCAACGTGTGGCATGTCCGCCCTAACCTAGCTTGTAAATGGGTTACAAGTGCCCCAAGTGGCTTAGGGGGGCTTGACGATCTGGGCTAAGTGGGTTCTGCCCATTTAGCAAAGTCATCATCTAAGCCCCCTGAGCCACTTGGGGCACTTGCAGCCCTTTCCTAAACTAGGTTGAAGAGGCCAGATACAACCCACCTTGGCATCCACGGACGCCCCCCATTCCAACCCCCGCGCCGATCCTGGCAGAGGCCGAAAGACTGAGCCCGGAGCAACAAGGCCGTCTGTCGTTCGGGCGTTGCGCGATTGGGGGGCGATGAGTTGGATGTGAAGAAACGTGCACGTTTTTGTGCCCTGCGGAGAGGGCCCCCCGGGGGCCCAAAAGGGGCACGAACGCTGCACGCTTTTCCTCCCCATGGAGCAACGCCCATGTCGTTGGAGCCCTGGGCCGGCCGGCGCCGCCAGGAGGAGGCGGCGGAGGAGGCGAAGGAGGAGGAGGAGGAGGCGGAGGAGGAGGAGGAGGAGGGCGAGAGGCGGAGGAGGAGCGAGGAGGAGGAGGAGGAGGAGGAGGGGAGGAGGCGGAGAAGGAGGAGGCGGAGGAGGATGAGGAGGAGGAGGAGGAGGCGAAGGAGGAGAGGAGGAGGAGGATGAGGAGGAGGGAGGAGGAGGAGGAGGAGGAGAAGGAGGAGAGGAGGAGGAGGAGGAGGCCCCCCGCGCCAGCTGCCGATGCCGCCCCCGCTGTCCTCCTTCGCCGCGGGGTCCCTGCAGCCGCCGTACCCCGGCGCCGCGGCGGCGACCGACGGGCAGGCGCCGCGCTCCCCCCCCCCCCTTCCGACGGGCGGGCGGGCTCGGTGGGCTCGCCCGCCCCCTGAGATTCCTGCTCCTCCTCCTGCTCCTCCTCCTGCTCCTCCTCCTGCTCCTCCTCCTGCTCCTCCTCCTGCTCCTCCTCCTCCTCCTCCTGCTCCTCCTCCTGCTCCTCCTCCTCCTCCTGCCTCCTGAGATCCTCCTCCTCCTCTTTCTGCTCCTCCTCCTCCTCCTCCTCCTCCTCCTGGGCCCCCCTGGCGGCGCCTCTGGCGCCGCCCCTTGCGCGCTCCGCGCGCCAGGGAGGGGGGTCCAGCGCAGATCCAAGAAATCTGCGCCGAGCGCCACAAGTTTATGCTTAAGGTGTTTTTTTCTTCTTCTAATGTGTGCCCCCTTGGCCAAGCGAGCGCGCAGATGGGATGCCAGCGCGGGTGGCCCAGAGCAGCGGCTCTCTGTGCAACTCGTGGGGCTCGAGCTGGGCGGTGCGATCTGTGAGGCGAAGAGAGAACAGAAACACAGGGCGCAGTCTGTGCGGTGCAGTCGAAGCTGCAGATGAGCGACGGACGAGAACGGGGTCGTGTTCATCGACGTTGGCGCGAGCAGCTGCCCGTGTAAGGTCCCGCGTGGGCGCCCTCGTTTCTAGCGTAGCGTGCTGCGCTGGCGGCCCGCGTAAGCTGCATAGAGTCTCTATGCCATCTCGCGTAAGATCCGTTTCTCATCGTCGCTCACGTAGCGAAAGAACATGCAACATCCTGGACCATCGAGAGCAGAGCCCCAGAAAGAACATGCAACATCCTGCAACATCGAGAGCAGAGCCCCAGAGCCAAGTGTTCGACGCCATTTTACGAGCCGGGTCGATCTCTGAGGGTTCCCCGGGCCCGAAACCAAGCGGAAACGCCTGGCTTAGCGAAAAGCAGACGCCAGGATTTCAGGGTGTGGCATCTGCTCTTGAGCGTGGTGAAGCGCCAAACGGGGTGTTCCAGGGAGCGCCCCGTGGGGCGTTTTTCGGTGTTATCTGTATATGCATAGAGATCATACGATTGGGGAGAGTTCTAGTACACTGTTTTTGGGTGGAACACAACTAATCTAACAAAGTCGTTCACTTGAATTTGCTTTCTCATTTTCAAGATTCAACCGGCCAGCTTAAATAGTTGACTCAGTGAAAGATTCAAATCGGGTTGTTTATCTGTTTTCATAGTCAGCATCCGTGATCAAACTTATTTCGGCGCCCTCCCTGGCAGAGACCCTGGCGAGCGTCAGGTGCGGCCGAATTCATAATGTTTATGAAAGTCTCCCCATGGGGATTCATTCGATAATTTTCGTTATAACTATTCGATAACTAAATTAGATAAGCAAGAAACACATTCGGTGTTCGATGAATCAGAAATGGAATTGTTTTCATATATATGTATTGTTCTAATTGTTTAGATGCCATTCGATGAGTAAGAACTTCATAGTTTAGAATAATAAATCAATGTTCGCGCCTGGGCTCTTCGTGGCCTCGCCCCGGCGGGTGCCGAAGTTAAACTGAGGCAGTCGCATGAAAAAGGAAACATGATAAACCCATCAAGTTTGTTCGGTTCGATTGTTCAATGGGGACGAACATACATGAGTACATGCACGACTCATGTTGCATTTACTGATTCGCTGAATCAGCACACGGGCGCAATGAAGATAGGTCAACGTCGAGCACAGCCACGTTACATAATTTCTTCATTGTATAAGCTCAGTTGGTGTATTTCGGCGCTCTCCCTGGCGGAGACCCTGGCGTGCGTCAGGCGCGGCCGAATTCATTTCATGACTTTGATTATCACCTGGGGACGAATTAGATGATTCAGAAACTTCTCGCGCTTGAGCTCGCCGTGGTCTCGCTTGGGATGGCGCCGAAATAGATTTAGTTAATGAAGTGAACCAATGGATCAATTACGTAAGGTAAGCCGACTGAATGCATTCAATTGTATATTCATGGCGCCGAACATGCATGCTTGAATTATTCGAATGTGTTGGATTTATCCAGTTTATCTAATCATCCAACGGGCCCCGCTTAAAAGTTCAACCAATCCAAGCAAGTTTGATTGACTTACTAAATTCCTTGTCTAATTTGGCATGTTCATTTTAGGTCGGCGCTCTCCCTGGCGGCTACCTTGGCGAGCGTCAAGCGCGTAAGATATGTTTCGTAACCTTTGTAAGTCGTTGTATATTTGAAGTAGCTCGCGCGTCTGTGCCCACCGCGGCCCCTCCAGGAGAGCGCCAACATACATGCACTACACAGATGAAATCAAATCCGACGGATCACAAAATTTGCGCAATGCGTATAATTAATCAAGCTTCAGAACAAGAAAAGATACCCATACCGCTACCCTTGCCTCGTTTTCCCCTATTTGGGCCTCCTGGGAAGCCCTCGTCGCCACCGCTGGATTCGCATCGAAATTCTGGTCAGAACGCATCCCAGGAGAGGCCCCGGGAGTCGCGTTATCGGTACTTCTTGGCTTCCCCAGAGTTGGACTGCGGAAGTGAGATACTTTTACGCACGGGCTAGTTCGATGTGTGAAAGGGGCTCAAGTGGAAGTTCTTGGGAAGCATCCGTAGCTTCCCGGACGCCACTTCGGCGCCATCTTGGCGCCCCTGGCAGGTCGACGCAGGACTGGGGGAGTTCGTCGGGGGTGGTCTCGGGCCCGTCGCCTCCCTCGAAGCCTCCGTGGAACCAGCAGTGCGGCAGTCGTAAAGGCCTATCGTGGGGACCGTCGTGAAACCAGCAGGGCAAACACGTTCGTGAGACCGCGGGGGGGGGACAGTCGTCAAACGAGAGTGGGAGGGCAGTCGCGAGACCAGCAGCGGGGTCGTCGTGAAAAATCAGCGGCGGGGAGATGGGTAAGATTAGAAAGGCTGGATAGGGGGAGCAGTCGTGAGACCAGAATGGGAGGACATTCGTGAGACCAGTATTAAGGGGGGGACAGCTGTGAAATCCATAGGGGAACAATCATGAAACCATTTGGGGGGAGATAGTCGTGAGACCAGCGGGGGGGACAGTCGCGGAACTGGTAGGGGGACAGGCGTGAGATCAATAGGATGGGACAGTCGTGAAACGGGTAGGTCGAACAGTCGCGAAACCATGAGGGTGAAACCAGGGGGGACATTCGTGAAACCCTAAAGGAAGTGCAGCCGTGGAGCGAGAATGGGGGGGCAGTCGTGAAACCGAAAGGGGGGTAATCGTAAAACCAGCAGGGGGCATAGTCGTGAGACCAGCAGGGGGGGGGCAGTCGTGAAACCAGTGAGGAGGACGGTCGTGAGACAAATGGAGGGGACAGCCGTGAGTCCAGCGGGGAGGCAGTCGTGAACCAGCAGTGACGTGAAACGACCAGCAGGGACAGTCGTGCAACAAGCAGGGTGAATGTGACCACACATTCGTGAGACCATGATGCGGGACAATCATGAAACGAGAATGAGGGGAGCGTCGTGCGAGCAGGCGGGGGGCAGTCGCGGAACCCGTGGGGGGGCCTGTTGTGCCGCTCTGTGGGCGCTCTCGGGCAATTCTGAGGCCGTCTTTGGGCCTTAATTCATGTCGCAATTCAAAGTTATGTATGCTTTTGGGGTGAACCCTGAAGGCCGCAAAGTTCACATCAGCCCTGTCGCAACTCAGAGTCATACACTTTCGGGTGTGTTTTGGTTCGCGCCAGCCTTACATAACTCCAGTCACACCGAAAACTAGCTGTTATCCATCCATATCTTTCGCATGGGCAATATCCAGCTGCCTGCGGCAAGTCCTGCCACCGTGCCAATTCAATATTCTCGGCGGCAGCTGCTCGAATCGATGAAGATACGCTGGCGATGATGGCGATGTTGACGATGTCTTTGATGGTGGTGGGGGTGATTTCAGAGTTGTGTGAGCTCCTGTGCGAGAGGTGACATCCAATGCATAACTCCACTCACAAGTCAGAGCTTTGTGAACTTTGCGAGGTAACCTCTGACATGGGCAAAGACATCCATAATTCCTGCCTCACTCAGAGTTATGTGTGCTGTATGGGGTGAACATTGACATCCACAAAAACTAACATATATCCTGGCACAAATGATACTCATGTAGTTTTGGTGTGGATTCTGGGATCCACAAAAACTTACATCACTTTCCTTGCAATTCAGAGTTATTTGTGCCTTGTGGTGAACCTTGATATCCGCAAGAGCTTACATAACTCCTGCCGCATTTCAACGTGGTGTATGCTTTTGGGGTGAGTTTCGAACGCCACAACAAGTTACATACACCCTGTCGTAATCCAACGTTGTGTAAGCTTCTGGGTGGAAGAACAATCCACAGAAGCTTGCATAGCTCATGCCGCAGTTCAACGCTATATACGCTTCTGGTTGGAACGCGAATTCCACATAAGCTTACGTATGCTTTTGGGGTGAACCCTGGAGGCCGCAAGCTTACATAACTCCTATCGCAACTCAGACTGATGTTAACATTCGGGTGTGTTTGGGTATGCGCCACCTTGCCTAATTCCAGTCGCAACAAAACACCAAATGTTAGCCGGCATGGGCCATAACCAATGATTACTGTTGAGCCGCTTTGAGCCACTTCGTGAGCCTTTCGCGAGATCCTGAATGAGCGGCTTGGGGGTTTTATGGCGGCTACACAGGCCGCAACATGGCACAATCATTGCTCGAGATAGGAAACGGGGAGAAACGTGGACTGTAAGCGGAGAGGAGGAAAGAACGGCAGCGAGGCAATCTATTCAGAGACCAAGGGAATGGGTCGGTGGCCACATGTGAATCCTACCCCCATCCCGCAAGATTTCTAACGGCGGGGTGGGGGTTCACTTCATCTGGGAGCTTCCGAGCGGAGCGAACCCCCACTACCCCCGTAGAAATCGTGGGGGTGGGGGGGCAGGGCTCACATGTGGCCACCTAATGGGGAGGAGGCCCTTAAAGCTATCAGACCCCGTAGTAGCTTCTGAGGAAGCCCGTCGTATCTTCTCATGGCTCGAAAATCCCAGACAGGAAGCCTTCGA